AGAAGACTTTGAGACTATCGAGTAGATAATTTGCTCTTGTGAATGCTTCATTACCCTCGTAAGGTCATCCCAGACCCTTGTTAAAGAAATTGTCCAAAAGAAAATGGAGCAGTGCCAGACTGAGTCATGGCTCAGTGGTTAGAACCTTCACCTCTGAGTCAGAGGATCTCTGGCGTTCAATCCCAGTTTAATCTAGTCTGATTCTCTCAGTGCGGCTTTGAAGTGCAGCACAACCAGAGATACATCTTTCGTCTGGGATGTTAAACCACTAACTCTGTAGTCTCAGGTCTTTTTTATTCATCCAGGGAATGTGAACATAGCTCGTTGGGCCAGCATTTATTGCCCATCCCCAATTGGTAGTGGTGAGCTGCTTTCTGGAATTGCTGCAGTCCTTGTGGTTTAGGGCGACCCAAAGTGCTCTTAGGAAAGAAATTCCATGATTTTGACACAGTGTTACTGATACATTTCCAAGTCAGGAGCGTGAGTGACTCAGAGAGGTATGTGCACATGGTGGTGCTCCCATGTATCTGCTGCCCTTGACCTATATGGTAGTGGTCATGGGTTTGGACGGTGCTATCTAAGGAGCTGTGATGAATTTCTGCTGAATGCAAAAGATCCTTGGTCATTTTTTAAGAAGTACTTCCTCTGGCATCCTGCTAGATGCAAAAGATCTTTGGATCAATTTCGAAGAAATATTTCTTCTGGTATCCTGCTGGATGCAAAAGGTCCTTGGATCATTTTCGAAGAAGTATTTCTTCTGGTATCCTGGTTAATACATATCCATCAGCAATGTGTCACTAAAAACAGATTGTCCAGTCATTATCACACTGATGTTTGTGGGACCATGACCCCACACCCTTTCCTACCCAATGGCTCAGCCAATATTTACCCCAAAGTTCTAATCACAGTTTGGGAGTTTGTTGTGTGTAAATTGGCTGCTATATTTCCAACATTGCAACAGTGACTACACTTCAAAAGTCCACAAAACAAATGCAACCCTGCATGCGAATCTCTTTCTCTTCTCTAATCATTGGCTCCAGTTTAAAAATAACTGATTTTAGTGAAGGACAACTGCACACAAGGAAAGTTCAGTGGGAAATCAAATATACAGGGGGTCATTCAGGCGATTACTGGGATAAACTTACAAAAACTTCTTTCAAATTGCAACAACAGTGATCTGCAGTTTTCCTTTTCCTTCCCATGCAAATATCTCTGAAACATTTTGTGAAATAACATAACACCTCAACAACAACAGGTTGCAGTTTTAATGTCCTAATGGAAACTGTGTGCAAGAGGATAATGTAAGATCAGCAACAGTTGGTATTAGTTTCCATTGGATGTGTTGCTTACTTAAACTAGGTGAGGGTGCATCTGGATGTTCATCTCTCCCTATGCACAGAGTTAAAAAAGCAAGGCCCCCAATGAGCTGGCATCAACAGGTTACATGACTTAGTTTACCCTTAGTGCAAACAAGCAACTGGAATGGTCACATGTGCTATCAGCTGCAAGCTGCCTATTAATAGTCATGGAATGCAGACAATGCTATGTGCCTGAGTGCTCAGCTAAACACAAGTATCAAAGGAAGTTTGACTGCTCATTAACAAATCTGGAAAACATTAATTCAGTAAAATTCACTGCTGCTGCTCTTCTGAAGTTCTCCACTTTCCTTTGTTGTTCCTGTGTGTGGCATCAGATCAGAAAGGAGAAGTTCAACACAGTACTGAAGACTGTGCTCTGACTGCCACAACTCCACGAAGAAACACCATTCAGGTAGTTGAATAATCTTTTAGAAGTATGTTGGCATGTCCCTACCCATGGACTGCATGGTAGCTTTCCTCTAATTTGTAATCTTTGTGTGCTTGTCTCTTGCTTACATAAATTGGTATTACCCTTGAGTAACATTCCTTGGTATTGTTGATAAAATGTCTCGTATACATGTCATGAACAATGTGCTCCAGATATATTTACATGCAAGATTCATTACACAGAAAGTTATTGTACTTCGACAGAAAATCTGAATTCTGTCCTCAAATTTCTGTCAGGATTGTTGCTGCAATAATCAGGCAGAGAAAGTGGGAGAGAATTTGGGCAACACACGTAGTGTTATTGCCAACTGTGGGGTGAATCCAATGGCTTCTCCTCTTTGCTTCCAATGCAAATAAATGTGTGGCACTGACATGACACAAGTATCAGGCAACATTCTTAACAGTTGTGCCCTTGGCACTCTTGGCATTTGTGCACTAGGCCAACCGTCTAGATTTTGCAAAACTAGTCTTTTTCCAAGATCTAGTTTCTTTTTCATTCATTTATGGGATGTAGGCAGCACTAGCTCAGCCAGCATTTATTGCCCATCCATAATTGCCCAGAGGGCAGTTCAGAGTCAACCTCATTGATGTGAGTTTGGAGTCACATGTAGGCCAGACCAGTAAAGACAGCAGATTTCCTTCCCTAAATGACAATAGTGAACCAGATGCGTCTTTCCTAACAATCGACAATGGTTTCATGGTTATCATTACACTCTTGTTTCCAGATTATTATTGAATTCAAATTCCACCATCTGGTATGGTGGGATTCGAACCCAGGTTTACTGGGACATCACCCTGGATTTTTAGATTAATAGTCTTGCTTTCATTGAAAGCTTCTTTGGATTGACCCAATAGCTGATCATTAGTTACAGTTATAACCTTCCTCCAGTACCAGCCTCTCTCCTCCTAATTGGCACGTCACCGAACTGCATCAAGAAATACTGAGCCAGCATTAATAGACAGAGGTCCTGTCTTACCAAGATATTTATTATTTTCTTGAATGGATGTATCACTGGCACAGTCAACATTTGTTCCCTATCCCTAATTTCCCTTAAACTGAATGGTTTGCTAGGCCATTTCAGAGGCATAGTTAAGAGTCAGCCATTTTGCTGTGGGTTTGGAATCACTGATAAGCCAGACTAGGTAAGGATGCCAAATTTCACCTCCTTAAAGGGCATTAATGAAGCAGGTTGGTTTTTAATAACAATCAATGATATTTTCATGATGACTGTTAGTGATACCAGGTTTGAATTCAGATTTTATAAATTGAATATTTCCAGAGTATTTGCCTCTGTCTGTACTAGTTAGTGACATCATCACTATGCCACCATCTCCCCAGTTAGAGTGTCAGAGAAAGATCCCATATTTTCACAACCGTGTTGAAGAGAAGTCCAGTGCCACTACTGTTTAGCCATTCTCAAAATGAGCACAGGTCAAATGGATGAAAGAAACTGGGAAACCAATCCCATAACTTCAGTTTGATGCAAGGGAACTGAGGTTGAACTGAAGGGAGGAAGGTTAGGTTGAAGGTGAGGCCATCAAACGGATTAGGAAAACCCAGTACAACTTTGAAATGATGCCAGTTGATCCAGTGTGCTTTGTTTACCCAAAAATTGTGTTCCAGTATGACCAGTACATCAATTTCTAAGTTGTACTGTTGTTTCTTACTGAGGCAGGGAGTGGTTGAGGAAAGCACCAGCTGCAGGGGCACTATAGCTGGTACTTTCCTCAAACACTCCTGGCACTGTGTTGAATGGCCATCACATTGGTAGGTATTTGAAAGACTAAGGCAGCATTCGAAAGGGATATTTTAGGGACAGTGTATACACTAGTAGACTTGGGGTGCTAAAGGATGATGGTAAGGAATACAAGGAAGTAGTTAGAAGTGGCTTTGTCAACAAGAATGGAGGCTGCCAAACATGGTGATGTTGCATGTTCCTCTCTGAATCATAAGGGTTCCATGTTCAAGTCCCATTCCAGCGCTTGAGCGTTCCAAAGCTGACAGAGCAGTTCAGCAGTGAAGGAGTGCTGCACTGTTGGCAGTGCTGCTTTTTGAGGATATATCTAACAGGGTAAATAAAAGGGAGCTAGTAGATGTAGTATACTTAGAGTTCCATTTGGCATTTAAGAAAGTTTCACATAAAGGTTAATAGGCACAATAAGGACTTATGGATAAAGGATTGGTTAATGGACTGGAAGCAGAGGGCAGGGATAACAGACATTTTCAGGTTGCTAAACTATAACTAGTGTAATGTTGCAAAGATCAGTGCAGGAGCTTCAGCTATTTACAAACTACATTGATCTATATGTTAATGATTTGGACAAAAGGACAGATAGTGATGTCTCCAAGTTTGGTGATCATGTAAAACTAATTGAGAATGTAACCTGTCTGGACAACATAAAAAGACTACAAACAAACAAACAGGTTAAGTGAGTGAGCAGCAAGACAGTAAATGAAGTATAAGATGGGGAAGTGACAGGTCATGCACCTTGGTCATAAGAATAGAAAAACAGAATTTGGAAATGTTGATGTTCAGATAGATTTAGGTGGATTCACATGGGAAAACCACCAGCTGAAACTTCTCATCCAAGTTACACACCACTTTGATTTGGAAATACATCAGCAATTGCATCACTGTCACTGGGTCACAAATCAGGAGCTGCCTTTCTAACAGTGTTGTGAATGTAGCTACCATTCCCCTCCCCAGCCCCCATGGACTGGAACAAAATCAGAAATTGCTGGTGAAACTCAGCAGGTCTGGCAGTATATGCAGGAGGAGAGCAGAGTTAACATTTTGAGTTCAGTGACTCTTCATTAGGACAGAACTTCTCCATGGACTGGACCAATTCATGCAGACAGCTCAAGGATGGGCAAAAAATACTGGCCTTACAAGTGATGGTCACATACCATGAATAAATTAAACAAAAGATTTGGTTATGAAGCGAGTTACTGTTGAGAATTGTGATAAAGTTTAAGCTCTTTATAATCCACTACTAAGTTATGGTTAACACATATCCATTAACTTGTATTGATTGTAGGATCTCTCAGAGAGTGTTCATATCACTTACGTGTTTAAGTTTCCAATTTTTCTTTAACTACACACAAATAAGCAAGGGAAACCACTTTATAAATTGCTACTTCAAGAAAACACAATCATTGTGAAGTTCAGTGTTTATAAAACTTTTCTTTTCCAGCATGGATGAAGATAGTCAAGACATGATCCTCCATAACTATTTCCACTTCAAGGAAACAGACCTGTCTCATCAAATATTAAAACAGCTTAATGCCCTACAGAAAGAGGCAATATTGACTGATGTCATTCTTTGCGCTGGAGGCAAGGAAGTTCCTTGCCACCGAAATGTACTGGCATCAAGTAGTCCCTATTTCAGAGCCATGTTCTGCGACAACTTCAAAGAGAGTTACCTAACCCATGTCCATTTATTGGGGGTCCAGGAAGACATTCTTACTCAGATTGTGGATTATGTATATACAGGAGAGATTACAATAAATGCAACAAATGTTTTCTCTCTGTTGGAAGCTGCTGGTATTTATCAGTACCCCAAAGTACTAGAGGCGTGCTCATTATACTTGCAAAATCAATTGACAGTTACAAATTGCCTTGGCATGGTGAGACTGGCACAAATCTTCAGCTGCAAAAGTTTGGAAAAAAAGGCCAAGGTGGTTGTTTTGCAACATTTCCCGGAGGTGGCATCCTCTGAGGACTTGAAAGAACTTTCCTGCACTGAACTCGCAGACTATTTGGGGGATGATGAACTCTGTGCTGAAGAAGAGCAGGTTTTTGACACTGTCACAACCTGGATCAGCCATGACCCAAAGACCAGGCAAAAACACATGCATGAGCTCCTCAAGAAAGTCCGACTCCAGTATGTCCACCCTACTTACCTCTTTCACTTTATTGCCAATAATCCCTTTATTAAGTCATCTCCTGTTTGTACACACATCTTGGAATCAGTCAGCCGGCTGATATTTTCCTTAAGCCCTGCAAACAGCCCAGATATCATACCCATGTGGTGTGTGCCCCGCAGGTATGCCACTCAAGAGTTCCTGGTTATTATCGGAGGTAGGAAATGTAACCAAGAGACAACAAAGGAGGCATTGCTTTATGATTCCAGGACAAAACAGTGGTTGGCTCTTTCTAAGCTTCCTGTTCACCTCTACAAAGCTTCTTCAGTATGTTTACACAGTAAGATATACATCCTTGGAGGATTGATTGTTAATAACAAGAAGACCACCATAAGTGCATGTGTTTATAGTTTCTCTTTGAAAATGAACCATTGGAAGCCAGAAGTAGATATGTTGGTTCCATGCTATTCTCATCAGGCCATAGCGCACATGAATTATATTTTCTCCCTGGGAGGGGTTGGGCCAAGTCAAGAAATATTAAATACACTGCACAGATATGATAGTATTTTCGGCATCTGGGAGTCCATGGCACCCATGCCAGTTGCTGTGCTACATCCAGCCATTGCTGCCAAGAACCAAAGGCTCTATGTTTTCGGTGGAGAAGATATTGTACAGAATGCCGTTCGTCTGATACAGGTACAGCCATCAGGCCCACTGTTCACTGATCTTTCGTGTTAAAAATTGGGGATGAATTGCAAGAAACTGGGCAATCCTTAACATGGAACAAGCTGGTAATACTTGGAGAGTTAGAATAAATTGATAAGAAGAACATTCCTGCACAAAATTTTCAGCTAGTCACAGACCTCATACAAGGACAAGCTGGGACAACATTAGACCCAATATAACAGTGCAGCTGTTAGGTCTTCAGTAGCTGTTGCTATTCTAATGTTTTTGTCTGGATCTCTGTTACAAGAGCTATTAATTAGAATGGAACATCATTAATTCTGTTTCTCTCCAAAAATGCTGCCAGATTTGCCAAGTGTTCTGATTATCTACTTTGTTTAGTTCCAATTCCTGACATCTTCAATAGTTTGCTTTTGTTCAACCTTATAAATTATGTTCAGATTGGAGCCTCTTGTAAAGTATTCAAGGTGAAAATTATACTTCTAACTACTCTCCTCATTTCTCCAATTATTTTCAATTTATGTACTTTATTAGGGATTTACCAATAAACAGAAACAATCTTTCACTATTTACAATCTCAAAACTTCCATGCATTTGCAAACCTCTATTATATATTTATTTAATCTTGTCTTTTGGGGAAAAATGCAACTTAAACTGACTTCTAATCTTTCATTCCTGCTATAATTTTATGAATCAGAACTGTGAACAATATTGCAACCATTGCCCAATCAAACTTCACACATAAATTCAATACCACTTCTTATCAAAATTCAATTACACTCAATTTGTAATTAGCTATTGTCCATTAGAGAGAGAATCTTAATAATAAACATATAACATGAGGGACACCATTCCACAAGCATGGGGCAAGGTTAATTAACTCCCTCCCCAGTTATTAGCATACCTTAACTGCCTTAAGTTACCTATATATTTCAACCTCAATTTCACACCAACTGATAGTTCAAAACATATTCCCAAGGTGGTAATACTTTCCTTATTATTTGTTAACTTATTGATGCCATTGATTAGAATTGCCCTTTCCATGTTTGCAACAATGCTTTAAACAATAAGCACATTCCTGGCAGTATAATTTTCTTTTATTCCTCTTAAATATTTTATAGCCAACAATATTAAGATCATAGAATCCCTACAGTATGGAAACAGGTCCTTTGGCCCAACAAGTCCACAGCAACCCTCAAAGCATCCCACCCAGACCTATCCCCCTATAACCCACCTAATCTACACATCCCTGAACACTATGGACAATTTAGCACGGCCAATCCACATAGTCTGGACATCTTTGGACTGTGGGAGGAAACCAGAGCACCCACAGGAAACCCATGCAGACACGGGGAGAATGTGCAAACTCCACACAGACAGTCACCCAAGGATAGAATTAAACCCACATCCCTGGAGCTGTGAGGCAGCAGTGCTAACCACTGAGCCACCATGCCACCGCTAGCTCTCAATCTTATCCAATTTAGTTCTCAATCTTATCCCAACTGGAATTAGTTTTCCATCCAAGTTCTTTCCAATTTTTGTTTCCGAACTTGTGCATATTTTCCTGTGAAAGATAGCAATAAAATCAGAAAAGCCTGAAAATACTCAGAAAAACGTTTCAGGTTGATGCCTTTCATTATAACTGGAAAAGGTTAAGAGTTGTCTTAAGTTTTAAACAAGTTCAGCAACAGGGTAAGAAGGGAGAGGAAAAGGCCAAAAGGGAGGGTTTGTAGTAGGATGGAGGGCAGAGAGATTAAGTACCAAAAGAACAAATGGTTCAAAACCCCAGCATTTTGTCAGTAAACTCTCCTCACGAATCTTCTCTTTTGTTTGTAAAATGGCTTATTTATGTGTGCTAGGAGTAATATAAGTTTGTACCTCGGGACTCATTTTCTGAAAACAAAACAAACATGTTCAAGTCTGTCTTTTTTTGAATTAGACAGAAGCTTGTGAAGCTTATAGCTTCCCCTTGTTTTCTTGACAATGATACCTCATTCAAGTTGTCAGCCAATCAGCATTTTTGTCCTGGAGTGTATTTATGATCATTTTAAAGTTGGCATTCTTGCATTAGGTAAGTGTAAGACTAAAAGCTTCAGCAACGTGCCTCTTTTCAACAACCTTCTCTTTTGCTCTGCTTTCCCTCCTCCCTGCCCTTTCACTTGTACAAAACTTATGACATACATTGGTGACTTTCCTCTGTTTTGATGAAAGCTCATAGGCCTGATTTGCAAATGTTGTTTCACTCCCGACAAACACTGCCAGACCTGATTAGGTTTTCCCAGCATTTTCTGTTTTTATTTCAGGTTCCCAGCATCCCTGGTTTTTTGCTTTTATAAAAGGCACTGACCTATTTATAATCCTTTTCCTTGCATTGCTCTATCTTCTTTAAGAACATTTGCTTTTATACAAGGATGACCAAATGTTTTAAACTGAATCAAAGATCCAATAGCACTATTTGATGAAGAGCAGGAGGGCCGGTCTCACTGTCCTGACCAACGTTCATCCTCAACCGAAATCACACCAAAAAATCATTTGGTCATTACCACATTGCGGATTGTTGGAGCTTGCTGTGTATAAAGTTGCTAGTGCATTTCCTACAATCCAACAGTGATTACACTCCAAATTTCACTTGTTGTGCAATATTTTAGGATGCATGCAGAATATACCACTGCATATCCCCTCTCCCTGACTTTGTTATGTTAAACTGTTTTGTCCTTTCACCATTGTTAAGCCTAATCCAATATTTAGTTCTGTCCAGCCTAATGGCTACATCTTCTTAATTCTTTCCTGCACCTCTTCGCATCAAAGCCATTGGTATCAATTCAGTTTAGGTGAAGCCCATTCTATGTGAAGAGCTTCCCTTGCCTCAGGAACTGTCTTAATGTTCTAACTTCCTATTCCATTCCAGCTGTGCCCTGCCTAAAGGCATGGCTTTGGTACAATGTCTGAAGATGCTTCTTGCTTTCTTGGTAGTGGTATTTGTCCATTGTCTTTTGCTTTCAGTGGTAGGGTGAGGAGCAGAGAGGAAGGAAAAGAGTCACTTGTGCTGGTCCTGCTCTGGTCTGGGCCCCTTGCCCAAGCACTGTGTCCCACCCACAACTTGAGCATGGCTGGGTCCCTAGAGCCCCATGTCCACATTACTGGGCCATGATGTACTCCCATCCATCTCATCCCAGGCCTTGGTGAAAAGGCAGATGCCAAGTCTGCCTCAGCTGGAACAGGAACCAAATCTGTGCAGTTGATATCATTATGAACCACATGCTACCCCATCTAAGATAACTAGCTCACTCTTTAGTGTACAATGGTATATTACAAATCTGATGTCACAGGATCGAATTGTTTGTCATAAATGGAAATGGTCAGAAGGAAATGTATTCACCCAGTTAGTTACCATAGTATTTATTTTGCAAGATGGTTCAACTCTCAACTTCTCTTTGCTTAAAACAAATTTTTTAATTATAGTTTTGATTAATGCATAGAAAATTCAGACTAAATGTAAGCTCACCCATCAACTACATTGCAAATCAGACTTCAACAAGTATAAATATCACAAGGTTCAGCGAGGGTCAGGTCTTATGAGGCTGAAATTGCTCAATTAATCACAGATTCATGTTACAAACATAAGCGTGTATTAGGGATTAATGAAGCACTGCCAGCAAAGAGATTTGAGAAAAAGAGCTATAATTGAGACAGGGTCTATTGAATCAGGCTGATTGACCTTGGATTAAGCACTGAGATTCAGGTTTAGGAGTTCGAATCTAGAATAAGAAAGGAAAATTTATTAACGTTAATATTGGACTATGAAAATTAGTCTCTACATGATAACACGCACCATTTAATCAATTGTAAGTTATTGATCCATTAGATTAAATTTAACATTAACATCAAAATCAAAACACAAGGCAATCAACACTATGGCACACAATAAAGAAAGGACTTGTAAATGATTGAGGTAAATATGATACCTGATGAATCATTCATTGTGAAGAACAGCAAGGACTTCTTTTTCTGAGATTGTGATTAACTGACAGTTATGTAAAAATACTCTGCAAATCCTGTATTCAACCTAAAATTAAGTGGCACAGATTGCAGGATATCACAGCAACAAAATTACATTCTCCTCTCAACCCATCCCCTCTTTAAGTTTGCACGCAAGTGTGCCTGACAGAAACACGACCTTTTAAGAACCATTGTACACAAGCGTTCCAAAGCTATGATTCCCACCAGAATAAATGCCCACTAGAGGGCTTTTGGGAACAGTGGTAGTGTCCCTACCCCAGAATTGGAAGGCTTCAGTTCAAGTCTGCTCCAGGGGTGTGTAATAACATTTCTGAACAGGTTGATTAGAAAATATCTGTACACTGGCTAGGTCTGGTAGCAAGACCTAGCCATGTGAAACAGCACCTTTCCTAAAACGCACTTCCTGGAATTCAGCACAAATGAAGCCATCCAGCACAGGCTCTCTGCTCCTATGATGCTGCTTGGCCTGCTGTGTTCATCCAGCCCTGCACCTTGTTGTCTCGGATTCTCCAGCATCTGCAGTTCCTACTATCTCCATCCAGCACAGGATGCCACTTTGAAAAAGCTATCCAATTGTTTCTGTTCCCTGCTGCTTTTACCCCACATCCCAGCACTCTTTTTTTTCCCTTTTCATATATTTATCAATTCCCTTTTGGAAGTTATCTGCTTAAATCTCCATTTAGGAGTTATCAGAGAAAAAAGTGTTTTCTGTATCTTTCTTCCCTTTACAGTAAATCTGTGTCCTTCCTGCTGCTGGTAAGTTTCTACTCATTTATATGATCAAAAGCCTTCTGCATTTTGAACACCTCTATTAAATCTCCCCTTAACTTTCTCCACTCCAGCATTTCCATGTGTTGAATGTTTCTCATCCCTGGAAGCATTCTTGCAAATCTCCTGTGAACTTTCCTTAAGACCTTAACGTTGTCCTTAGAAAGTTACTACTAGAATTGGACACAATACTCCAGCTGTGGCCTAACCAGTGCTTTAGAAAGATTTACTGTAAATTCTTTATTTCTGCTTGGAATTGCGTAGAATTTACAATGTGCAAACAAGGCATTCTCCCTGACTGACTATGCCCAAATTTATTCTTCACACAAGACTTCTTATGCTATATCATCTCAAACCATCAGCATATCTTTGTTCATTATTGTGTATACAGCTTTCTCTTAAATGTAGCTGTTATTGGCAGTCACTGTTTCCACAGTCACTTAAGTTAACATTGTTCCTTCTGAATTCCCCATTATTAACAGCTCCCGCACACTTGGCAGGCTGCTTAGCTCAGTTGGATTGGATTCACAGCATGTGGGGTTCAATTCCTATTCCAGCTAAAGCAGGCTCATGGCTTATTTCCACATCCTACTTGTGGTAAGGGGAAAAATGGCATTTCACAATAATTCTGCAAGTAATTCCTAAAGGCTGCCTATAGGCAGGGAGCTCCAAAGACAGGTCTTGTATGTATGGTTCCTGACGGGGTCTTTAGCCCACAATGACTGCTCTAACAATACATCTCATAATTGTAAATTTCTTTATCTGGTTACCGCTCAGCATTCCTTTTCTTAATGAGAAAGTCCTACACAGTTTAGTCTGGCAAATATGTTCAGAAATGTTAAAGTCAAACACCAGGAATGTTTGGTGGAGTTGTATTTTCTGCATTACTTTTGAAGTGTTTTAATTTTGAATTATTATTTAGGTTTACAACATATCAAGGAATATGTGGTTCAGAATGGAGACAAGGATGGTTAAAAATATCTGTGCACCTGCAGCTGTGATTGGTGACAGAATTATTATTATTGGAGGTAAGATGAAACAGCTGGAATAATAATGGTAGATTGGTTCAAAGATAATGTTTTAGCCCAGAATTTGCTGGAACAAAGTACTACACAGGTGATAACAATGTAGTGAGGAACAATAAGGCATCACCTCAGTCAACAATGGGACCAACAGTTTATCTTCTTAAGAAAAGAGATTTAAGCTTTGATAAATAAACTGAGGGAGGGACAAAATAAAAATTAGTCGAGTGATTTAGAGTCAAATTAAAGCCATGGTGTGAAAGAAAGATTATATTTTGACAAAAAGAGTAAAGACCTAGGAAAAGCAGGGGGAAGAAATAAAATTTAAGAAATCTCAAAGAACAATTTGCTACCTTTAGGAATGCTACACAGTAAGATTGATTGTTCTCTTTCTGAGTGGGAGAAGTTGACAGTCATAAATCTCATGAAAAGAATCTTCACACAGGTGACAACCTTAACTTTCTGCAGCATATTCAATTCATATTTATGGTAAGCAACTTCCCAAAACCCATGGGGTGATGCCCTAATGAACAAGGTTCATGATGGAGCAGCTCAAACCATCCACCAATTTTGTATGTGGGTGGAGGTAAAAGATCCCAAAAAAAAGTTGGGGAATTCTTCATGGCTTCCTGGCCAATACCTAACCCCCAATCCACATCACCAAAACAGAATATCTGGTCATCGTCGTTTTTGGAAGCTGTTTTACCTACATTTCAACAGAGAGTGCACATTAAAAAGTACTTCACTAGTTGTAAGACACTTTTGGATGTCCTGAGGCCTTGATAGGCAAATAGAAAAGCAAGTTTTTCTTTCCCAATACCTTAATCAATAACATTAACAGGTCAAAACATTATTGCTTTGTTTATGTTTTACATGTGACTTTTATTCTCTCAGGCTACACAAGAAGAGTGATTGCCTTTGATACAAAATCAAGCCAATTCGTAAAATGTGCTGATATGAAAGAGAGGAAGATGCATCACGGAGCTACAGTTATAAACAACAAGATCTATGTAACTGGTGGACGGTTTGTCACCTCAGACAACACCATTGAAGACAGTGATGCAATAGATTGTTATGACCCAGAGACAGACAGCTGGATATCTAAAGGAAAGCTACCACACAAACTGTTTGACCATGGCTGTTTAACACTGCATAGCATCTCCTACAAATCCCCCAAGCTGTAAGTGGTGAAACAATCATAAAGTCATAGTCATTACGATACAGAAGGAGGCCTATAGTTTTCTCACAGAGCAATCTAGACAGTCCCAATCCCCTGCACTATCCCTTTAGCCCTCCAAGTTTATTTCCCTCAAGTGCTGATCCAATTTTTCGTTTGAAACTGTCTTCAATGCTATATTCACCACCCTCTTACGCAGCCCACTGCATAGAAAAGTTCTTCCTCATATCCTACTTGTATCTCTTGTCTAAGATCTTAAATGTATTTCCTCAGTCCTTGTAACATTAACTACTGAGAACATTTTTTCTTTGTCTACCTTATCCAAACCTGACATAATCTTGTACACCTCTATCAAATCATCTCTCAATCTCTTTTGCTTCAAGGAGAACAACCACAGGTCCTCCAATTTAGTATCGTTGCTCAAATTGCTCATACCTGGAACCTATCTGGTTAATCTCCGTGGTCTATCTCAAGTCCTTTACATTCTTCCTAAGGTCTAGTGGCCAGAACTGGATTCAATATTCATTGCTGTAACCTATGAAGGGTCTGTAAAGGTCCAGTATAATCTTGGGTTCATTCCTAATGCTGCTATATATGAAGCCAGTGAAGTAATAACTGCTTCCAGCTGCAACTAGCATCTCCATGTACAGGATTTCTTCAACAAAAACAGGAAGTGCTGGATAAACACAGCATCTGCAGAAACAAAAACAGAGTTTTGTGTACAGTACCCCTTTGTTAGGATTTCTTTGTTGCTGATCTTAATAACCCTGAAGCCAATTTGTCGATGAGGACCAAACTGGTTCCCATTTTCACTTTTTGTTCTATCAACTGTATCGGGACCCTGTCCTATATACCTGTCACTTTTATTCAAGACACTGTTCTTCCTGCACTTCCTCGTTTTTTTGTTAAGCATTTTTATCCAATTTGTAGTACACAAAAGAAACAGTTCCTCCAACCTAATCTGGAAGAAATGTGTCCTGATAGATCTGTTTATCATCAATAATCAATATTCAGTAACTCCAACCCCAATAGCTATAACATAAACATGGATACATGGCAGATGGTCATAGAGTTATACAGCACAGAAACAGATCCTTTGGCTCAACTTGTCTGTGCTGACCAGATATCCTAAACTGATCTAGTCTCATATGCCAGCATTTGGATTATATCCCTGGAAGCCCTTCCTATCCATGTGACCATTCAGATGCCTTTTAAATGTTGTAATTGTACCCACCTCCACCAATTGCTTTGGTAGCTCATTCCATACAAACACCACCCTCTGTGTGAAAAAGTTGCCCCTCAGGTCCCTTTTAAATCTTTCTACTCTCATCTTAAACCTACACCATCTAGTTTTGGACTTCCCTACCCAGAAAGAGACCTTGACTATTTACCCTCATGATTTTATAAACCTCGAGAAGATCACCCTGCAGTCTCCGATGCTTCAGGGGAAAAAGCCCCAACCTATTCAGCCTCTCCCTATAAGACAAACCCTCCAACCCCAGCAACATCCTTGTATATCTTTTCTGAACCCTTTCAAGTTTAACAATATCCTTACTATAGCAGGAAGACCAGAATTAAACGCAGTATTCTAAAAATGGCCTAACCAATGTACTGATCAGGCCAAGCAGCATCAGAGGAGCAGGAAGGCTGACGTTTTGTGCCTAGACCCTTCTTCAGAAATGGGGTAAAGATGAGGTGCTGGGGACCAGGGAATTGGAAATTCTGGAGGAGGTGGAGGGTGTGGGTGGTGTCACGGACATAGGCAGGGAGTTCCTGGACTAAGGGGGAGAAAATGGAGTCGAGATAGGCGGAGATAAGTTCGGTGGGGCAGGAGCAGGCGGAGACAATGGGTCGACCAGGGCAGTCAGGTTTGTGGATTTTGGAAAGGCGATAGAAGCGGGCGGTGCGGGGTTGGGGAACGTTGAGGTTGGAAGCTGTGGGTGGGAGGTCACCTGAGGTGATGAGGTTGTGGATGGTTTGGGAGATAATGGTTTGGTGGTCGGGGGTGGGGTCATGATCAAGGGGGCGGTAGGACGAGGTGTCGGAGAATTGGCGCCTGGCCTCGGCGATGTAGAGGTCTGTGTGCCGTACTACAACTGCGCCTCCCTTGTCCGCGGGTTTTATGGTGAGGTTGGGATTGGAGCGGAGGGCTGCACGTTCTGCGGGGGAGAGGTTGGAGTGGGTGAGAGGGGTGGAGAGGTTGAGGCGATTGATGTCACAACGGCAGTTGGAGATGAAGAGGTCGAGGGAGGGTAGGAGGCCTTGGGGTGGTGTCCAGGAGGAGGGGGTGTGTTGGAGGTGGGAGAAGGGGTCAGTAGAGGGAGGGTTAGGGTCACGGTTGAAGAAGTAAGCGCAGAGGCGGAGGCGGCGGAAAAACTGCTCAATGTCCAAACGTGACCGGTATTCATTGATGTGTGGGTGGAGGGGGACAAAGGTGAGCCCTTTACTGAGGACTGACCGTTTGTCCTCAGTAAGGGGGAGGTCTGGGGGGATGGTGAAGACTTGGCAGGGCTGGGTGTTGCTGTCTCCTCTGGAGCTGCTGGCTGTGGAGGTGGTGGGTGGAGCGACGTCGGCGTCGGTGTCGGTGGTGGGCCGTGCGGCGTCGGCTGTGGGCGGAGTTGTGTCGGCAGTGGTGGGCGGAGTTGCATTGGCGTTGGCGGTGGGCGGAGTTGCATCAGCAGTGGGCGGAGTTGCATCGGCATTGGCGGTGGGTGGAGTTGCATCGGCATCGGTGGTGGGCGGAGTTGCGTCGGCGCCAGTGGTGGGCAAAGCGGGGTAGGCAGCGGCAACAGCGGTGACGGTAGGTGCGTCCTCAGTGTCTATGGTGTTGGCCTTGGAAATGGAGGCGGTGGCATCAGCAGCGGTGTCGATGGCGTTCGCAGTGCCGGAAGTGGTGTACCTGACAGCGGAGGATGTGACGTCATCCGTGGGTGTTCCGACAGTGGCCACATGGCCAATGGGGGCGGGCACATTGTGGGGAAGGTCCTGGGTAGGGTTGGGGATTTGGGAGGTGGAGGAAGCCTGTTTTGGGTGGTAGGCACCAGTAAGTTTACTGTACTTACGGTTTTTAGTGTCCAATAAAGTTGAGTAGAATTGTGAGTTCAGGTTGTGGATCCTATGAAGAATAAAAAACAGGAGAGGTCCTTTTCAGGTCTGGGAGAGGGAGGCTCTGAGCTGGGGTAGGCTTGATTGTAGTGCCCGGAGATGCCGGCGCATTGCTGCGAGTGTGTGTTTCAGGAGTCGCAGGGAGAAATGCTTCTGAAGGATCTCAATGTTCTGAATGTAGACATTGTCACGGTTGGGGCCAAATTGGGAAGGCCTGAATGTGGACTGTAGTCCATTGGGGATGTTCTGGTTCTGTAGGCAGGTACTAAGAAAGGTGATGTGGCTGTAGTACCTGGTTTGCTTCAGGACGTGGTTGAGCAGTTTCAAGGCCGAAGAGATTACGAGAGAGTTGCAGAGGGAGAGAGATCCACTGAGGTTTTTCTGGAGGTAGGAGGGTAACTTCTTCAGGGTAGGCATCCTTAGAAGAGGCTTCGCAGTGGGGTTAAAATTGTTTCAGAGATAGTAGGAAATGCAGATGCTGGAGAATCTGAGATAACAAGGTGTAGAGCTGGATGAACACAGCAGGCCAAGCAGCATCAGAGGAGCAGGAAGGCTGACGTTTC